AACTATATCAATGAGCTACCAGTTACTGAACTCGTTTAAATCCTTTATCATCCTAGCCACTCTGTGCATCTGATGAAGTGAGCTGCAGCTCATGAAAGCTTACAACTTTTAACTAAAATTAACTAAAGCTTACATTTTTAACAACATGTGTTAGTTGTAAAAGTTGCAACCACTTTTTTTTTTTTTTTGCCTACCGAAGACTAAGATGGCTCTCCTCCTACAACTTGCTACTCTTAGTGTTTGTGAAGACTCTAGTTAACTCTGTCTTCATCGTAGGGAATGGAATGCAGCTTCAGTGTAACTGAGCTAAGAAATATCCAAATAGCCAGGTGTTGACTGTTAGGCTTTGAAAAGACTTCATGGCTCCTTTCTAAACTGTTGCCTTCTCTGCTACCCAGCCATTGATTATATTCAGTTCCTGCATAAAGAAAAGAAGAAGCAAGAAGAAGAGGTCACCACTCTCCGGAAAGATGTGATGGCCTTGAAAATCATGAAAGTGTAAGACTTGTGCATTTGTATATTCATCTTTCACTAGCTTTTTCATGTTTCACTTCACCCCAAAATAAAGTGTGGTATCAGACTAGGGGCAGGGAAACCTAGGTTCTAAACTACCCTCAGCCATGGAAGGTCCCAGGGTGACTTTCTTAGCCTAATCTACCACACAGGGCTGTGGTTGTCAGGAAAAATACGAAGGAATGCTATGTATGTTACTTTGAATACCTTAAGGAAGTAAGGAGATAGACACTTTTAATTAAACAGCAAATTCCATCCTGTTTTTGAGAAACATTTACTCTGCAACATGATTATCAGTTTATTGTTCCAGATCTGATTGTTATATCATGTGCTTTCTGGTAAGTTAAGTTATGTATGCATTTCAGAAACTATGAAGAGATTGTTAAAGCCCACCAGGACAATCCCAGTGAAGGAAAGAATCAGGTCTCTGACCAGGTGAAGTTCAATGTTTTCCAGGGTATCATGGACTCCTTGTTCCAGTCCTTTAATGCCTCCATCTCTGTGACAAGTTTTCAGGAACTCTCAGCTTGTGTTTTCAGCTGGATAGAAGAGCACTGTAAGCCACAGGTAATTCCAGAACATGAGAACATGTGGCCAATAACTACATATAGGAAAAATATACTTGATTTGCTTGTTGAAGCCTTCCTGGATTCAGAGGTAATCATATAGAAGGAGAACTCCTAATGTGGATATCCATTTTTTTTTCTTTGAAATGAAGACCAATCACATTTAAAAATATAGAAATAATAAGGGGAGGAAAAACAGAAGTAACTATAAATGTGAACTTGGAAATACTTTTACAGAAAATATACGGAGACTTTGAACAACTATATTCAAGAGTTCTCCAAAAACATCTGTATAGACAAAGATAATCTAAAACAACTAAAAACTAGAGGTTAATTTTGATTAGAATAATTAAATGAAAGATTAAGTTTATTTACTGTTGACTACCATTTCAGTCAATGCTTTTTACCATACTTTAAGTTCAATTAATCCAAGGACAGATGGGCTTTAGGACTCTGCAATAACAACTCTGACAGCTAATAGAAAAAAATATTTTTTTGTGTTATAAAGACTGATATATTTCAGGAAATATGGACAACTCCTCATTATAGGATTAATT